CCAATGTGAGAAGAATTCTGATAGTGACAGGTTTGACTACTGGAGAAAAAGTTTCTCCAAAGTCAAAACCAAACCTTTGATGAAAACCTTTGGCAACTAACCTTGCTTTGAACTTATTCACAGAACCATCAGGATTTTCTTTGACTCTGAATACCCATTTGCAACCAATAACCTGCTTGCCTGGAGGAAGAGACACTAAAGTCCAAGTATTGTTAGCAATCAGGGCATTGTATTCAGATTTCATTGCTGCAAGCAAAGGTGGAGAAGAGAGAGCTTGCTTCACTGATTTAGGCTCTATATGAGCTAACAGTAAGGTGGGATTAAGTCTAGGTTTTACAATCCCAGATTTGGATCTGGTTTGCATGGGATGATTGTTGTGAGGAGGACTTGGAGGTGGAGGAGGATTAGGATCAGATGATGAGGAGTGAGAGTGGGCAGTGTTATCATTAAATGAATTAGAAGGAGTTGACTCAGATTGGGAGGATTGTTGATGAGGAATTTGATGATCAGTGTTAAACTGAGATGGAGTGGATGAAGATGTAGAAGTAGATGAAGGACTAGAAGAAGAATTTGAACTGTTGGAATTGGATGTAGGAGTGGCACCATTGTCAGAGTGGAATGAAGATGAATGAGAAGGAGAGTGAATTGCTATTGGGGCTGATAAGGAAACTGGGACACTTGAAGATAAACTGGATGGGGATGGAAAAAGAGTAGTGTAAGGAAATTTGGTTTCATCAAATATAACATCCCTGGAACGATAAATTCTGCCACAGGGAGAGAGACATTTATAGCCTTTGTGATGAGAAGAGTATCCCAGAAAAACACATTCCTTGGAATGGTAATCCATTTTATGTTTATTGTAAGGCCTAATGAAAGGATAACAGGAGCAACCAAAAACTTTGAGAAAGGTATACTCATGAATAGTACCATAAAGTTTGAAATGTGGGCTGAGATTTGCAATAGATTTTGATGGAAGTTTGTTGATAAGATGTACAGCAGTGGCAAAGGCAGTGTCCCAGAAATTGAAAGGCAAAGAAGAATGTGCAAGGAGACATAGACCTTTCTCAACAATGGTGCGATGTTTTCTTTCAACAACACCATTTTGATGGTGTGTATGAGGACAAATAACTCTATGATTAATACTTTTTTCAGTGAGAAACTTTGTGAATGATTTGAATTCTCCTCCCCAATCAGATTGGATTGACTTAATGGAGATGTTAAACTGATTTAGGATGTATTGATGGAAGTTTTGAAAGGCTAAGAATGCATCTGATTTCTTTTTGAGAAAGTAGATCCAGGTATATTTGGTGAATGCATCAATGAAGGATATATAGTAAGTGTAGCCATCAAAGGACTGAATAGGAGCTGGCCCCCATAAGTCAGTATAAATCAGTTCAAAAGGAGAATGAAAAACATTTGTAGATGGGTAAGAGGGTAGTCTGTGAGCTTTACCCAAACAACATGCAGAACAAAAGTCAATAGCATTTTTATTGATATATGGAATATTACATAGATTCAGTACAGACTTAAGGGCCTAAAAATGAGGATGACCTAGCCTTAAATGCCAAATATTACAACTGGAGGTTGACTGAGAGTTATTACAAGTAGATACAAGAGAACTAGGGAACACAGATGTATGGGGATGAAACTTGGACAGATTTGAAGTAGAGTTGTGAGACCCAAGAGCTGGAAAGGATTGAAACTTGTAAAGACCATCTTCACCAAGTATTCCATACAGCAGAACCTGTTTAGAAACCTGGGATTTAACAAAACATTCATGAGGATGAAATTCAAAAAATGCATTGTTATCCTTGGCAAATTGGCTGACACTTAATAGATTTTTGGTAATAGCAGGAACATGTAAGATGTTGTTGAGAGATAAAGAAAGAGATGATTGATAAGGTGAGGGAAAGGATGAAAAACCAATAGACTTAATTTCCAAACCTTGACCATTGCCCATAAACAGCTTATCAATGGTAGCAATTGGCTCACTGTGTTGGAGATTGAGGGGATCAGCAGTAACATGGTGTGTAGCTCCAGAGTCTGGGAACCAGTTCTGAGAATTTGGGGGTGGTCCTAGTATAGAAGAGTTTGCACAAGCCCAGGCTGCAGTTGGCACAGTAGGGGATGAATTGAGTTGTGAGAGATGATTACCTTGCTGTGGATTGGGATAAGGTGGTTGGTTGGGCGAGTATCTTGTACCTTGCTGTGAATAGGGATAAGGTGGTTGGTTGGGTGAGTATCTTGCTGTATTTGGAGGAAACAGTTGGTATTGATTTGAGTAGAGATGTGAAGGTGGTTGTTGGTATTGATTTGGTTCGTATTGAGGCTGGTGAAATTGATTTGAGTGAGAATATGAAGGTGGAGGTTGTTGCATAGGATGAGAAAGCTGTTGTTGCATAGGAAAAGGATTGGTAAGAGTATAGGCTGGATTGTATCTGTGGTAACAAACGAGTGCACTGTGACCATTTTTCCCACAAACTTGACAAGTAACTGAGCTTCTACCACCTGAACGACCACCTCTACCCCTATTGAAACCTCCACGACCTCTACCTCTGTAGGAGGAATTGATATTAGAGGTGTCAAACTGAGCAGAAGTATCAAACTGAGCAATTTGAGCTGAAGCATTTTCTGAATTGTCCTGAGCTTCGATTTCAGTATTTTGAGAGGAAGATTCAAGTCGAGCAACATTAGCAGCAAATATTGTTTGTTGCGAGGACTCACGAAGTTTCTTCAGTCGCAATTCTTTTGCTAGCAGAAGACCTTCAAGTTCAGATAAGGTAACAGGATCTAAGATACTTCGCGAGGACACAGATGATATAAGTGACTCGTAATCCTCAGGAAGACCTTCAAGGATCACATTGATGTGATCCTTGGTTGATATAGGCTCGCCGACAGATGTTAGGTTATCAACAATTGTTTGAATACGAAGCAAGTATTCAGAAATAGAACGATCACCTTTCCCGGTGTTATACAGTTCCGATTTCAGTTGACGAGCTCGCGCGATGATACTGGAGCGGAAGAAATTCTGAATTTCACTCCATAGCTCATGCGAATGCTTGCATCAGATGACGCGAGCATGAAGTGATTCTGAAAGCGAAGCTAAGAGCCACGAAAACAGCATTTGATCTTGTTGCTCCCAGGTGTTGTATGCTTCGTTAGCTGTTTTCGCTCCATTTTCATCAACTGAAAAACGATCTGGTATCTGAGGACTTTCTATGAATTTGAGAAGTTTATGAGCTCGGATCACTGATTCAACATGATGGCGCCAAAACAGAAAATTGTTTGAATCGAGTTTAATACGTAGAGGATGATGAAAAAAAATAGGCGAAGATTGATTAGCAATGTGAGAAGATTGCGAAGAAGAAGAAGAGGAATCAGACGCAGAGTTTGTCATAGTTAGATCGAGCAATGCTCTGATACCATAATAGAAATGAAGCAAGGTAGAAGCAGAAATGAAATCATCTTACTTAGAATCAGATATTACAGAGTATTTATACAGGAAGTAGTCATAGCTAACATAACCGAAGCCTAACAGAAAGCAGTTACATTGCTTTACAAAGAAATACACGTGTAGTTTTCCTACACTATTCCTAACATTAGCTACTTCATTTCCCTCTCTCCAATGGCAGCTTCTCTGATTGAGTCTGATTACTCAAATTAGATCTCCATTTAGTACCATCAATTCATCTTTCAGACCATTAAAAAAAATCCCTTAACCATGCCTTCATATGTATGTCGTAAAGGTTCTACAACTAATTCAAACCTTTCTCTGTACTCCATGACACTGCCAATTTGTTTCACACTCAACAGGGGGCCATATGGATTTCGTACCAAATCAGGTTGAACCTTCAAATTAGAGCAGCCTTAAATTGTTCCCAGTTATGCATTACTGCCTTTTCTTCCCACCACTGGAACCAACTTAAGGCTTTCTCCTCCATACGCATTACTACCTTATCCTCTTCCGCTATATTATTGAGTTTAAAGAATCTTTCGACTCGAATTGTCCAACCATAAGCGTCGTTCCCATTAAAAAGTGGTAAATCCACTTTCCTACCAGACTTCATGAACAATCTCTGAGTATTATCCTCTCGTCTAGATGAAATGGATCGAGAATTATCTCTGGATTCAGATGCGGCAGTACTATTGTGTCGCAAGTGATGTCTGGCCGTCGTTGATTTTCCACGTTTGTGGCAATCATTTTGTTGCAAAATCAGTTCGCGTAACTCAGCGATATCACTTCTCACTTGGTCGCGATTATCTTGCAACCCTACGATATGGTTTTGCAACCCCTCGATCCTGTTCCGCATCTCTTCGTGATCGCGCTCTAGACTCTCCAGCTTTCCTTCCATTGTTCCACGTGTAGCAACCATTCACAGGCTTCAGGAACGTACGCTCTGATACCAAATGATAGGTTCTTGTGTAATCTTTCAATATTCCGAGCTCACAGATATATCAAGAAGGTAAGAAAGATCAACAATGAAAGTTTATTTGAATAACAGAAAAGAAAGCAGACAGTTACAGGTCGTTGCAGAGAGTTCTATTCCCAAATCCCAACTACCAAAGAGTTCCAACCTGTCTAACTGAACATAAGGCCATCTATATATAATCCTCCACCCGACTCCCAATTACAATAGACCCCCTTATTTATTATTTGCTTTCCCTGATTCCTATCAAAAAGACAGCAGAAAAGATGCAATAATCACCAATCAACTAGGTCAGGATGCAATCATCCCATTAATACATATTATAACAATAATCACTAGCAAATGAATAGGTCACTCTAAGAAATCTTGCTTAAATGGCATGCAATATAGGTCAACACATAAACAGGCGCTTCTAAATGCATCATGAAAAGGAAAGGACATAGTGAAGACTACGCAAACAGACAAGTCATTCTCCAAAAACAAACTAGTCATAGTCTATGTATAGAATGAAAAGGTAAACGTGAGCAGAGCAGACAAATAAACTAGTATTGAAATATTCCCAGTATGTCTCACCTGTCAGCAATTGCTAACATTGTCCCGGCGACAGTTTTTGGGGGTAAATCTCCCGAAAATCGTGGAAGAGTGATCTCAAATAAGGCCTCTGCCACCTATAAAAATAAGATACATAAATTAATCCTTGTTAACTGAAAATGTTACGCACATTAGAAATAGGTTTCTGTGTTTGGATATATGACTCCTATCAAAACGTGACGACTCTTTTAGGTATACTTGGTTGATATTGTAACTGAAACTAGAAGTTAGCCTAAAGTCAAAGACAAGTGCTTACAAGCTGAAAGTTAAAATTGAGACATTCAGGTTAGGAGTGTTCTACAAAATTATCCTTTCACTAAGTCAATATATGTAAAAAAGACAAAAAGTGGCATTTTGTTTTTTAAATGAAAGATGGAAAGAGGAATACATGGAACCATATTTGCAAATAATGTGGGTACAAGCGGAAATTTGGAAAGCTGGAAGTTTCTTTTTCAAATGTCATTGGGGGAGGAGGCGGAAGTTTGAAAATAAGAGCTTATTTTGAACTCCGATTTCTTTAATACATTTACTGAAAATATATGATTAATTGTAGCTTAAAATAAGCTACGAACTATTGGGTATGTCTTGCCAAATACAGCCAACCTTTCTAGATCACCATACACTTACACAAGATGTCATAACGTCATGTTAGTGCAAAAGTTCTTATGTTTCCACTTGATTTTGGACATGACTACATGAGAGTTCTAAAGTAGGATACTATGAGATCTAAAAATAATTAGTGACTATTATAAAAAGGAGAATACTTGTAGGGAATATAGATTGGACATAAACAACTTCGTACTGATTTAAATAATGTCGTCAAGGACGAACTTGTGGAGAATATACAACAACAACAACAACAACAATATTCAAGTCTTATTCCCAAAATATTCTGGGGTCGGCTAACAAGAATCAAGTCATGATATTAGATCCAATAAGAGAAGAAAGATAAGAAAAATAAAAAGATAATGTAAGATAAAATGTATAAGATAAAGATGATAAATATAAGATAAAAATAATATAAGAGCATAAGAAAGATCCAAGAAAAAAGATAAAAGAACATAAGAAAAATAAGAATTATTAGATGATTGATCTTCTTAGAAAATTGGAATGTTTATCATTTATTTCCAGGATTATTCTTTTATTATTTGTATTCAAGACTTAAGACTTAAAAGGCCAACATATTCCTATAGTTTTGTGACATGTATATTTGTAATTTTATTAATATACGACCAAATAATCACCAAGTAATCGGTCCTACTCGAGTACTCGCTACTTGGACGAGTTGCCACCAAATAGCATATCAACTACATAGATTCTTGGTAAGAAGATTTTAATATTCCATAATAAGCACCAACTTCAAAGACATACTTCAGTAGATAATTTTATAATGACAACACTATTATCAATATGATAAACAATTATTCGTTGTTACAATTTAGAAAGCCACATGTGGAGGAGTGGTCTCATTTTATCTTTTTTAACTCCGATTTCATATGTCAATTCATGTTAGCCGACCATAAACTCTTTTAGGACTAAGGCTTGGATGTTGTGTTGTTGAGAATTTAGAAAGCCCGGGGCACCTGCGTAATATAAATTCCTTGTAAGGCGGATTTGCAACAATAAAACGGTTTTGAAATGGGTATTGAGTATCAAATAACTATAATGCAGCCTTAAATGGACATACTAGTTTGCAACTATAAAACAGTTTCGAAATGGGTATTGAGTATCGAATAACTATAATGCAGCCTTAAAATGGACAAATTAGTTACTCTGCGGGTAAACATTGCAGAATAGTTACAGAAATTGCTTCCAAAGAGGAAAAGAAACCCAGTGCAAAAAGACACAGATGTCCATTGAGAGCATAGATAAGAAGCGGTAATGAGAAACATTTTATGGAAAAATTCACTTACCTGCTCTGAATAGCCATCTCTAATAGCATAGTGACGTGCCATTATCCCTGAGAGGGAAGTCAACTCGGTAACAACTGATGTAGCTAGATCTGACATTGCCAAAGATGCTGCATCATGGATAACTTCAAGAGTTTCTTCATCTATACCCAGAGACAGACTAACTTCACTAACGAGGTGTTCAACCCGCACCATCTTATCCAGCATTGTTCCCAGCTTCTCCTGCTTGAACAAAATCAACAAGTTATCAAAACTACAAGGTGGAAGAGTGAAAAGGTAGATAATGACATATATTTAATACATCAATATAGTTTATGTTAATAATGTTCAAGTACCTGGAAGTACACATAAATAGTATTTTTATTCCTATTAAAATGAAAGAGCATGTAGTTAAGTACATTTCAATTTTCAAGTGGAAATGCCAATTGCATGTGGCAAAACAACAAAAGTGTTTATTTTCCTTTTCATTTTAATAGGAATAACAATACTGTTTAGGTGTACTTCCAGGTACTTGAACATTCTTAACATAAACTATATTGATGTATTCATACAAGCTTTTACATCGCAAGAATAGTTTGACTCACAGAGTCAACTTACATGGAAAAGTATCCCGTTTAGTTGAATTCGAAATTCAGAAAACTTTTTACTCCTATCCAAGTCATAGAAATACTTTGCATCTTCAAACCGAGCTCTAGAAAGAAAAAATAATCCAAAACTTTAAACAAAAAAAGGAAGCAACAGACTAAAAGGACGGGGAGGGGAAGGAGACTAACCGGAGTACAGCTTCATTTCCTTTTATCACCTCCATTTCATTAATTGCTCCATTTGCAACCTTATAGTTTCAATAATAAAAATAATACACCCTTCTTCCCAAGAATGTAAGATATACTATTTTACAAAAATAAAAAATATTCAGCTCAAGCTATTCACAAGTAATATTCTGGTCAGTCCGGACTGACCAGAACCATCGTGCAGCCAAGCCCGTTTGAGGGCCTTCGCAGTCGAATTCCTTGATGAAAATTTGTGAACATGTTGTTCTTCATGAAGCGCAGAACATTCACACAAAATTTCATCAAAAAATTCAATCGGGAAGTCAGTTATATAAATTGTTGAAAAAAACTGCGCAAAAATATGCATAAACAACGCAGTTTTTTCCAACAATTTATTTAACTGACTTCCCGCTTACATTTTTTGATGAAATTTTGTGTGAATGTTCTACATTTCATGAAGAACATGCTCACAAATTTTCATCAAATTTATCGACCCGGAAGGCCTTTAAACAGGCTTGGCCGCACGGCGTTTTTGTTAAGTGTGGACTGACTAGAATATTTCTCTCTCTCTCTCTGTATATATATATATATATATATATATATATATATATATTACTCAACCTATATATATTCAGCACTTGCACTACTTGCATACACTTCTTTTGATCTTTTTCTTCTACTTATAACAAATTCCATTATCTAAAATATTTTTAATTTTTTCGCAGTGTAACTTAATGGGATATCAACTTTTATTACTTTCCTTATGGATGTTTGAATATACTAATGGTCCAAGTTAAGCTATTGCAATTTAAAAGTCAAAATGTTGCTAGTAGAAAGGAATGGAGGTTAATGTGTATCAATAACCACCTAAACTCTATGCCATGTAAAATATAACAATCAAATTTCAAAATTATAAAAAGGTAATGAAAATGCAAAAAAATGAAGAGTTGTTTTGACCGATGAATAGTGCATGCATCATACTCTCTTAGCCTCATAAAAGTTGACCAAAGTTGATTTGCACGTGGAATAAGAAAGTGCAAAACATGTGGTTGAGCTTTGTGCAAAGTTTTTTGGAATGACTAAATAAGGAAAGTTGGCAAAGTTTTGTGAGATAGAGGGAGTGTAAATCAAACGGATACCTCAAAAATAACTATTGTTTTTCAAGATTAAAAGGTCACAATATGGAGTGAGAACAAAAATAATGTTCAAGAAATACAACATTACCCCAGTACCGTAAAGGCTCCCACTTATGGTGGGGTAAGGGGGATCAGATCTATGCAATCTTACCTCTGTACTGAAGCACAGAGAGACTGTTTCTGGATGACATATGATGAAAGTCGTGTCAAAAATTACATGGGCTGACTGCTGCTTCATAACAAAGAAGCCCAGACAGTTTAGTAAGTCATTTTGCTTTATTCCATCATATTCCGAAGCGAAAAAATAGTGACTCTTAGGCTCCATTGGAAGTGATGGAAAATAATGTCTTAAAGAAATGAAGTAAAAAATTAAAACTAAAACAAATAACCACTTTCCTTTAAGATTAATTGATCATATCAAGAGAGATGAAAAAAATGTCTTACAGCAATGAAGTAAGGCAGCAGATCCCCATTCTCATTAGTCACTGCAAAGTATTTCTGGTGCTTCCGCATGACCTGTAAAACCATGCAAACAAGCTATTCATGCAAACAACATGCTCAGAAAAGATTAATGGTTTATTTTACAAACCAGTAAATCAACAAAAAGAAAATTCATATTTAGTTTAAATGTCGATCACCCTAGAAGAGTACAAGAAAGACTTGAGAATTAAGTTCTCAAATTGACTGAAACTTTACCATTATCAGTAGTTCTTTAGGAAGCTCTAGGAAGGTGTCCTTAAATTTTCCAAGTACTGGCACAGGTGCCTCAACAAGATTTACAACCTAATAACAAGGAAGATGATCTTTTGTATTCCTGACTGACTAAAGAATGAAATAAATAAGTTCTAAGGATTCTTTAGTTACTTCGTTAAGTAAACCAGTCTGCACAATAGGAAATCCATTTACACTCTTTGCAAGATCATGGGACTGCTCCAATATAAACTTCTTGCGTTGCTGCAAAATCATGCAATGAGCGGTGAGTAACAATTTTCCCCTTATAAAGTCCACGCAGTGCAAAGAAACAGGTAACCCCACTCCTCCCCTCCCAATGAATATTTCTAGCACCTCAACATCAACAAAAATCCCAGCATGTTGCATCATATCGCCATAAGATGCTGCATCTACTACCTGCAAATGCATCAAAAAGCATAAACCATGTAACTCATTTAAGCGAATAACGGAAAAATAGACAGAACATATAACTTACAACTATGCAAACCAAAGAGATACTTACAATAACCAAGTGTATTGGGAATTCCTATAGTCCTATATGTGGTTACCAACTGGGGGAAGGGGAAAGTATATGTGTGTGATATAAGAAAATAAAAGCTCATCAAATGAAGGAAATGCTTAAGCAGGTCTTGTAACTATGCTTAACTAGAAAATGAAAAGATCAGGAAAATAATATTTTACAAACCTATTAATTTCAGGCTTTATATTTTTGTTAATTTAATCATACCTCTACAGTGGCAGAAGGAGTGTTACGTAGACCATGCGACACATTTCCACTGACAAAATAAAATAAAAGGTAAATATATTAACACAGTTGAGAGCACTAGAGTCCAAGATACATGTTGAAATAGAAACTGAAATGATATTAAAATGGAGAGAAGGATTTTCTGTGTTTTTTCATTAGAGGGTTAAGGCCCTATATATATATATATATATATATATATATATATATATATATATATTACAAAGATGGAATATTCCTATATAAGATGCTATACAATAATAATGTCTAGAGTATATTCCTAAAGCATATTCTAGAGCATATTCCTAAAGCATATTCCTAGATACAATAATACTTTCACACTCCCCCTCAAGTTGGAGCATAGATATTTATCATGCCCAACTTGTTAAATAAGTAATCAACTCGAATCCCATTTAGAGCTTTAGTGAATAAATCTCCAAGTTGTTCTCCAGTCTTCACATACCCGGTAGAGATTAATCCTTTTTGTATCTTCTCTCGAATAAAATGGCAACCAACCTCAATATGCTTTGTTCTCTCGTGAAATACGGGGTTGTTTGCTATGTGTATAGCAGCTTGGTTATCGCACCACAACTGAGCTGGCATTGGTGTCTTCCATCCAATTTCATTCACTAAATGGTGTATCCATATTATCTCACATGCGGATTGTGTCATAGCTCGATATTCTGATTCAGCACTAGAACGAGAAACCACATTCTGTTTCTTAGTCTTCCAAGATACAAGATTACCACCAACAAAGACACAATAGCCAGATGTAGATCTTCGATCATCTTTAGAACCGGCCCAATCAGCATCTGCAAAGCATTCTATTCTCATGTGATCATGGTTTTGATAAACAATACCTCGTCCTAGTGCTCCCTTTAAGTAACATAATATGTGTTCTACAGCAGCCCAATGATCAATGGTCGGAGATGACATGTATTGACTCACTACACTCACAGAATAAGCAATATCTGGACGGGTGACTGCGAGATAATTAAGCTTTCCAACCAGTCTTCTATATCTTTTTGGGTCTTCAAACGGTGTGCCTTCTTGAGTGAGTTGCACGTTGGGAACCATGGGTGTTGTACATGGTTTTGCCCCTAATTTCTCTGTCTCAGCTAGTAAGTCAAGTACATATTTACGTTGAGATAGAAATATGCCTTTCTTACTTCGTGTTACCTCAATTCCCAGAAAGTATTTCAAAGAGCCAAGATCTTTCGTCTGGAATTGACTATGCAGAAAATTCTTAAGGGCCAAAATACCTGCATTATCACTCCCTGTAATCACAATATCATCAACATATACCACAAGCAATGTGACACCTGATTCTGTTTGTTTGTAAAAGACAGAGTGGTCTGATTTGCCTTTTATCATTCCAAATTGTTCAATTGATTGACTGAATTTCCCAAACCATGCACGAGGACTTTGTTTCAGACCATAAAGAGATTTGCGAAGTAGACAAACTTTACCATACTCCCCCTGAACAACAAATCCCGGAGGTTGCTCAATATAGACTTCTTCCTTAAGGTCACCATGCAAAAAAGCATTTGTAATGTCCAACTGATGTAAGTGCCAATCATGAATTGCAGCGAGTGAGATAAGTAACCTGACAGATGTTAATTTAGCAACAGGAGAAAAAGTGTCAGAATAATCAACACCATAGGTTTGAGCATAACCCTTCGCAACTAATCGGGCTTTCAACCGAGCAACAGATCCGTCTGGGTTAACCTTAACAGCAAAGACCCACTTACATCCAATAGATTTCTTCCCTGTAGGTAAGTCAACCAAATCCCATGTACCATTATGATCTAAAGCATTCATTTCCTCTACCATGGCTTGACGCCATTCAGGATGAGACAAAGCTTCTTTGACAGATTTGGGAACAGAAATAGAATCAATGGAAGCAATAAAAGAACATGAAGCAGGAGATAACTTAGTGTACGACACAAATGAAGAAATAGGATGAGTACAAGACCGTGTACCTTTACGTAGTGCTATTGGGAGATCAAGATCTGATGTGGAGACAAGATCTGAAGATGCAGGTACTGGTTCAGGACATGAGATCGGAGTCGAACTAGTGTCAGGAAAAGTAATCACAGGTATCGCCGGTGGAGGGTGATCAGGTGTTTTGTGTCGACGGGTGTATACCAAATGTACGGGAGGCCTAGGGTCATGAACAGTAACTTGTGGAATATTTGTCGAAAGTGTGGACTCGGCAATAGTCATCGTGTAAATGAGAATATCATCATTACTCTCACGAATATCTGCCTTAGATGATGAAAAAGGTGTATTTTCATGAAATGATGCATCAATAGAAACAAGATACCGACCAGTACTCGGACAAAAACATCTATATACCCCTTTTGGACTCGAGAATAACCCAAGAAAATACATTTTAATGATTTCGGATCTAACTTTGTTATATGAGGATTAACATCTCTAACAAAACAAGTGCAACCAAATATTTTAGGTGGGATAGGAAAAAGCTCTCTGTTTGGAAATAGACAATGATAAGGAGCTTTACCATTCAAAACAGAAGATGGCATTCGATTTATCAAAAAACATGCAGTAGACACGGCATCTGCCCAAAACTGGTTAGGCACATTCATTTGGAATAGAAGAGCCCTTGCAGTTTCTAACAGATGTCGGTTCTTTCGTTCCGCAACTCCATTTTGAGGAGGTGCATCAACGCGTGAAGTTTGATGAATAATGCCATGTTGAAGCATAAATGACTTAAATGTAGCAGATAGATATTCTTGGGCATTGTCTCCTCTTAACACCCGAACAGGAACGTTAATCTGAGTTTTAATTTCAGCACAAAAGGAAGAAAAATGAGTGAACAACTCAGATCGACGTTTCATGAAATACAGCCATGTCATACGAGAATAGTCATCAACAAAGGTAACAAAATATTTAAAACCAGCTTTAGACACAACCGGGCAAGCACCCCAAACATCAGAGTGAACAAGGTCAAATGGAGCATTTGCTCGTTTATTAACTCGTGGGCCTAAGCTAGTACGATGGTGTTTCACAAATTGACATGACTCACATTGTAAAGAGGTCATCTTATTAAATTGGGGATTTATTTGCTTCATTAATGGGAGAGATGGATGTCCTAATCGGTAATGAGCATCTAACAAAGTCCCAACCCCAAGACAAGAGATACCTTTGGTGATGGATGTATCCAAAATATATAGACCAGCTGACTCATGTCCTTTACCAATAATATGCTTCGTTAACAGATCCTGAAACACACAATATCCAGGAAAAAATGTTACAGAACAATTAAGAGTACGAGTGATTTTACTGATGGAAAGCAGATTAAATGCAAAATTAGGAAGACTCAAAACAGACGATAATGGTAATGTAGAAGTTGGAACAACAGTACCAGATCCAAGAACGGGTGAGGTAAATCCATCCGCAAAAGTGACACTAGAAGTAGGTAAATATGAATGAAATGACGAGAATAGACTAGGATTACCGGTCATATGATCTGTGGCACCTGAGTCAATGACCCATTTCGAGGAAACAAGACACGTGTTTGAAATACCTGAATTAGCGGTTACCGAGATAGGGACAGAGGAATGCTTTAGAGATTCTTGGTAGCAAATAAATTTGGCATACTCATCTGAAGAAATAGCAATTGATCCATCGGATGAACTGGTAGCGGAAGCAACATGAGTAAGCTGATTTCCTTGATTTTTGAACAGCAATTTTCTACATTCTTTGATCAAGTGTCCAGGCTTCTTACAGTAATTGCATATTACTCCTCTGTCAAATCCACTCGTACAAGACATTTTTTTTTTTTTTATTTTTTTTTTTAATTTTTTTTTTTAAATAAACAAGGAAAACAAAGGAATGTAATCTCACTTTTCTTTTAATGTCTTATCCTCCATGTTCGCAAAATAAGTAGAGGCTTGGTAAAGAAGTCCTTACCAGAAGAGAGTGTGCGATCTAGCTGAGGATAAAAATCCTCTTCAAATAGTTCAACTCTGAGAGTATGAAGGCTGGAAGAAGTTTGCGCTCCCAGATTTCTGAAATTCACTAGTTTGCCTGGTACCGTCTTTTTCTTTCCGATGTCAGCTTATTGAAGAGCTGTGACGAATACTAAGCATCCCAAAGAGAAGCGACAGCAGAAGATAGGCGATATGCAGGCCAGCTGGTCGGCAGTTGTCGATCGTGAATCTGGACGGAGAGTGAGCGTCACGTGCCGGCGCGTGAAATTCCGACTTGAGTTCCGGCGGCGCGTGTGGAGTATGGGCGTCGATTTTCTTCTCCAGATCTCAGGGATTTGGTTTCCGGAGGCAAAGAACCTATCTGAAAGTGTCGATGATAACAATAGAGCTGAAAGCTCTAAGGATCGAAAACTGTAAAAGAATGAACTGAAAGCTTTAGGCCTCTGAACTTCTGAAGTTTCTGAAATGCTCTAATAAATTTATGGAGTCTCTGAGAACAGAGGGATTTTGGGAAGAGGTTCTGGGAATAATTTCTGGGAAGAGGTTCCGGAAAAAAAATTCTGGGAAGAGGTTCTGAAGGTTCTGGACTGAAATCAGTTAGTGTTATGAATAACTAAACTGAAATCTGGAAGAAAAAAAATTGAAATGGATGGCTCTGATACCATGTTGAAATAGAAACTGAAATGATATTAAAATGGAGAGAAGGATTTTCTGTGTTTTTTCATTAGAGGGTTAAGGCCCTATATATATATATATATATATATATATATATATATATATATATATATATATATATATATATATATATATATTACAAAGATGGAATATTCCTATATAAGATGCTATACAATAATAATGTCTAGAGTATATTCCTAAAGCATATTCTACAGCATATTCCTAGATACAATAATACTTTCACAATACAGTTGCATGCAAATATAATAATAAGGTTTCCTACAGTTCGGTTAGAACTCTTGAGAACTAACAATGTTACATTGTACGTTAAATAGAGCTAGGAAGCAGACCAGCTATTGTGGAATTCATTTTTAACTGTAGCCAGTTATTTTTCACATGAAAG